GACCATGCCAGGCAGCTCCCAAAATAACCAAGTGCTTCCACTCAGAAGGTGTCACATCAGGGCCAGGAAGCAGATGCAGCTGGTTGGGGGTGAGGGCGGGCCTTGCACACCTAACTCATTGCCCAGCCTTCAAGGGACATCTGCCAGTCTCCATGATGCTCATGGTCCCCTGTTACTTATTTTAAACATTAAAAAAGTAGCTGCATTGGTACACGGAGCTAGGCGTGGTGACACATGCCCGTAATCCTGTCACAAAGGCAGGAGGGTTCTCTGGAGTTGGTAGTGAGACACTACCTCAAAAAAACAAAGCACAAACAAAAAAGCTTTCCAAAGTGTTTCTTTAGCCTGTAGCTTAACTGTTTTATTTTAGTTTCATTATATAGGCTCAGCCAGCCTGGAGATTTTGTTTTGTTTTTTGAGTCTTGCTATGTAGTTCAGGTTGTGGCCTTGGATTCACTATGCAGCCCAGCTAGACTTAGAACTCAGCCATCCTCCTGCCTCAGCCTTCTGAGTGCTGGAACTTCAAGCATGCGTCACTCTGCTGGTTAAATGTTTGTCAATTCTGATTTACATAGTAAAAAAGCCTCAAAAAACAAAACAAAACAAAAGTGAAAAAAGCCCTGGTACCAAAAAATGAAAACAAAACAAACAAACAAACAAAAAATGACAAAATTGAAAAAACAAACAAACAAAATCCTGAATTGATAAATGGGGAAAGGAAAGAAGGGAAAAGGGGAAAAAAGGACAGAAAAAGAGGAAAACATGAAAACAGCTTCATAAATGGGGAGGAAGGAGGGGTTAAAAGGAGGGTAGGGGAATGGGGGGGGACCAAGTTATAGCATGTACAGGTACAAATTCTCTATAAATGTGATCATTATGTATATCTAAAATGTACCAATAAAATCTGATTGAAAAAACAAACAAAAAAAATCCAGAATGGATTTGTTATATGTGGTGCAACATGTGGGTTTGGACTGTTTTGTTTTGTTTTTCAGACAAGGTCTCTCAGTTCAGGCTGGTCTTGAACTCACTGTGTACAACCCAGGCTGGACTCCAACTCACAGAGATTCTTCTGCCTCAGCCTCCTGAATACTAGGACTTCAGGTCTGTGCCCTGAACCTGACTATTATCCTCTTATCTCCTGCTATGGGGCCTCATCCCCTCAGGCAAGAGCTACCAGGAATGTACACAGGGCTCTAGGCACTTGCCTGTGCAGACCTCCAATATGTTCAGAAAAATGCAGTCCCGTGGTCTTCCGTGCCCCGCTGATTTCCTGCAGGCGATTCCAAGGTCCTTCCACACATGCATCTGCTATATGCTTTCTACAGCTTCCCTTCTTTGGTTGAGTAATATCAAGCTGTACAGCCATATCATATTTTCCATGTTTTCTTCATCTATTTTCCAGGACAAATGGGTAGTATCTGACTTTATCTATTGTGAATATCACTGCTATAAACTTTGTTTACAAGTGTGTGCTAGGGAATCGAACCCAGAGCCCTGTGTACTCTAGGCAAGAGCTCTATCCCTGAGCTGCCGCCCCGGTCCTCCAAGGTTCACATGGTAAAAACTTTTAGTCAGGCATGGGGGCACATGCCTATATTTCTAGCACTCAGGAGGCTGAGGCAGGAGGATTACAAGGCCAGCTTGGATTACAGAGCAAGATTCTCTCTCAACAAAACTAAATCAAACCAAACCAAAGCACAACAACTAGATGTTTATTAGACTGCAAACATTACAAACATTATTTTCCTAGCTTGTCAGTTCTGTATATCTTTGGCTTTTTTTTATTCTCATGGAAAATTGTAAACATTTGTGAGGTGAATTTTACCCATATTTGCCTTTATGGTTTGGGGATTCATATCTTTCTTAGCATAGTTTTCTTTTTTTTTTTTGGCTTTTTCATTTTTATTGGTACCGGGGATCGAACTCACAACTGCCTGCTTGCAAGGCAGGTGCTTATGCCGCTGAGCTAAATCCCCAGCCCCTTAGCATAGTTTTCTCCATAAGAATAGTCTTACAATTCTCCTGCCTTAGCCTCCTAAGTGCTGGTTTTATCAGTGTGCACCACCACGCCTGGATTCACTCCAAAAATTTAAAAACCATTTTCATGTGATTTTTTTTCCTACAACTTTTTTTTTTTTTTTTTTTTGTCTTTTTTCATCGGTACCGGGGATCGAACTCACAACTGCCTGCTTGCAACTCAGGTGCTTATGCCACTGAGCTAAACCCCCAGCCCCTACAACTTTCATGATTTCATGTTTTTTTTCCCTTGTGGACACTGGAGCCACGGCACCCAGAGCCTTGTGTGTCTTTCAGCAAAAGCCCTACCACTGATTACATTCTGGCCCCATGGTTTCATCTTCGATTCACCTGGAATTTATTCTAGCATAAATAGAGCAGATCCACTGTCATTCCTTTTCCAAATGGCCAGCCAGTTGTCCCTACATCCTTTGATATATATTCTATGACATTGATAGTTCTGGCTATTTTCCTAATTGTTTTTGGCAAAAATAGTGTGACAGATGTTACCTCCTCCTGCTCTTCTTTCCTCCTTCTCTTTCTCCTTCTTCTTTTTCTCTTTTGCAGTTCTGAAGATTAAACCCAGGGCTTTCACGCTGAGCTTCATCCGTAGCCCACTCCCACTCCTTTCGGAGATGTTGCTATTGCGTCTGTTAATTGCTAAATTGCCCAGGATGGGTTTGAACTTGCAAAGTTGCCTCCAGAGCGCTGGGAATACTAATATGTGCCACTATATCAGACTACCAAGATTTTTTCAAGAAAAATAGGAAAAAAAAAAAAAAAGAAAGAAAGAAAGAAAAAGAAACTAGAGAGATTATAGGTGTAGCTCAGTGCGCACTTAGCATAATAAAGACCGTGAGTTCACGGGGAGGCGGGTGTGGGACAGGAAATGAGAGCCTTTTCTTGCTGATTATTCCATCATCCGAACGTGTCATGGATAATGTAAGCACTTCCTTTCTATTGTGTATCTAGGTGGCATCAGATGTGAGCAGTTTAACAAACTGTGCTGATTACTTGTTTTTTCTTCTGGTACCAGGAATCGAACTCAAAACCATGCTTTTGTGCCGCTGAGCTATATAAACCCCTCCCCCCTCCCCGCCGATCACACTGACATAGTTTTCATTTTCCTTACAAAAGATGCCAGGGGACCTGATATCTGGCTGATGGTGTTTGCCTGGGGGTTTTCTGGGACCTTTTGCAATGGACACAGGGTTGAGAGGCTTCTCAGCAAGGTGCCCTCGCTGCAGGGTGTGAATTCTTCAGCGAACCAGAACCACACCCGCCTCGTGATTTATTCTCCTGCAAGCAGGCTGGGATACAGGATGAAAACTGCCATGCTGGTTTGAATTTGTTGTAATCCTCCTGCATCAGCTTCCTGAGTGCTGGGATTACAGGTATAGGCCACTGTGCCTGGCTCATGGTATGTTTTCATTACTGATTGTCTTTGTATTTCTATTTGTGATCTAACTACACTGTCAAGTATGGAATGAACCACTTGAATTACCAAATTTTTTTCTCCTCAGTGCTGAGGCTTGCATCTAGGGATGTTCTACCACTGAGCTACAATCCCCCCGGCTCTTTTTATTTATTTATTGTTTATCGGTATGGGGATCGAACTCACGACCGCCTGCTTGCAAGGCACATGCTTATGCCGTTGAGCTAAATCCCCAGCTCCTCTTTTTATTTTTTTATTTTGAGATACATGTCACTAAATTGTCTGGGCTGGTGGCAAATCTGTGATTATCCTGCCTCAGCCTCCCTAACAGCTGGGATTATAGATGTGTACCATCAGGCTTTGTTGAAGTTTTTTGACCTACAACCCTGCAATTTCTTTTGATTCAGTGTGACATTTACGCTATGGTGTTTATTCTTCTGTGGTTAGTGGTTCATACACATGGCTGACTTGTCTCTACAGCCAGCATTTGTGCTACCCACTCAGGAAAAGCTGGTAGAACGGATGAATCACTGCCTGTCTGGAAAGGAAATGAGGGAAAAGAACCTTCCAGCCTTGAAATATTCGAAAAATTTTAATTACTGGGCTAGTTCTTGATCTGGACTGTCTCAGGCCAAGAGGAAGGCTTAAGAACAATAGTTCTTGGAGGCTGAGCCTACACAGCTGCCACGGAATCCAAGTATTTCAGTTCTGGAAGGAACTTCATACTATTTTTTTACAGGGTGAAAGTGAGGCCTTAAAATTTCTTTTAATTAAACTGGGTAGAGTGGCATATTCCTGCAATCCCAGCATTCGGGAGACTGAGGAAGGAGGATGGTCATGAGTTTGAGACCAACAAGTTACATAATTCAAGGTCAACTTGTGCTACAAAGTGAGACCCTGCCTCAAAAACAACAAAAAATTTAAGTATTTTCAATGAATTGCTAAAAGTACTCATTATTTTTATTTGCATTACTAAATATGAAATTACACCCAAATTTAGATACCCTTACCTTGTTGATATATTGTTTTGAAAAAGTTAATTTCAAAAAAAAAAAAAAGAAAAAGTTAATTTCAATTCTTTTTTTGTTTTTTTGAGACAAGTTCTCACTATTCGTGTAGGCTGGATCTAAGCTTACTACGAAGCCCAGACAGACCTGGAACGTGTGGTGATTACATGCATGTGACACTGTGCTATTTTTTCGTCTCTGTCAACGTGACTCTGGCCAGCGCTAGGCAAGAGGGACGTCTTGTACAGCTGAGGAGGGGACCTCACTGGCCCCAGCTAGGAACCATGAGGCTCCTAGAGGGTACCAGCACGTACTACCTCCGTCTCTTGAATGGCTGCGCGCCTTGGGCAGCAGAGGGCGCTAGAGAGACAGCACGCCGCGCCCCGCCTCCAGGCCGTCGCGCCGCGCCCCCGTGACGTATTTCCGCGTAATCTGCTACCGAGTTTCGTTCCCATTGGCTGCGGGCAAGGCGTCGGGGGCGGAGCCAACCGGGCGCGAGGGAAGCGCTGCAGCGGGTCGGGGGCGTGTCTTCGTCGGGACCGCCCTCCTCCTTGAGTCCTCCCCCCACCGGGACGGCCGAGTGGAGAGGCCGGACGAAGGCGGCGGCCCCGGCGGCGGCTTTTCCTCGGCTTCGCTGTGCAGCGTGCGCGGCGAGGTTGACCGCCCGCGAGCGCCCGTGACTGAGGGAACAGGGAGAGAGCTCGGGCGGCCGAGCGCGCAGCCTTCCGTGGGCATTGCCGCCTGGACCTCCCGGAAGGCATCCCGGGCCGCGGCCGCCACCCGTCCCGCCCTCGTTCGGAGCTGAGACGCCGTCGCCGCGCAAGATGCCCAAGAAGAAGCCGACGCCCATCCAGCTGAACCCGGCCCCCGACGGCTCGGCGGTGAACGGGACCAGCTCGGCCGAGTGAGTGGGCCGGGCGAGGCGAGGCGCGGCGAGCCTCGATTTCCCTGCGGGCTCTGAGCAGCTTGTCCCGTTGGGCCCTCGCCCCTCGTCTGTGGCTAACGCGGGCCCCAGGACTCCGGCCTGTGACGGGATTGGGGGAGCGGCTGTCTGGCAAGGCTGAGGTCGCGCCGAGGCTTTTGACACCTGTCCAGGCCCGTCCTCATCCTCGCGCCTGACACCTGTGGGGCCCGGAGCAGGACGCTCCCTGGCGGGTGGGAGCAGACTTTTCTAGGGTTTTTCCGGTAATGACTTGGGAGGGACTCTCTGTCCTTGGCTTTTTCCTGGGAACTGTCTTCCTGGAAGGGAGTAGCGTTTCTCTTGTCTGGTCTATCGTTCGTTCATTCGACAAACTGTCCGATCCCAGCACTCAGAGAGGTTGAGGCAGGAGGATCACTGTGAGTTCGAGGCCGGCCTGGGTTACAGAGTGCATTCAAGATAGGCCCCTAAACTACAAAGCAAAGATAGTGAGGCAGTGTCTCAAAAACAAAAACAACACAAACAACAACAACCCCCTCCCCTAAGAACAACTACGGAGCAAAACCTCTTTTCCTCCCCAGTGACTCCCGGGGCTTTCCTTACAGGACTATGAGCCCTAAACTTATTCAGGAGGAGAGCGCCCTGATCATGGAGACCACATACAAGGAGCTGCATCTTTTTAGCCTCTGACGTTGCTCACAATCAGGACTTGAATTTCAGAAGGCTGTTTTGTGGGGTTTCTGAGTTTTCAAAGCACTGTGGTGTAAGGAACACACCTGTGAAGGATGGGCCTGCGTGGAGGAATAACCAGAGAAGATTGGCCTTTTTTTCCCCCAGTCTAGTGATTGCACCTAAAGCTTTGACACTGAGCACTTTGTTAATTTTTTTGTTATTTATCTTGAGCCTTTTGTTATTATTTATGCTAAATTCCTGCATTGCCCAGGTAGGGCTTTAAGTTCTGCATCCTCCTGCCTCAGCCTATCAGAGTACTGGGGTTCCTCTCTCCAATCAGGCTCTTAATCTTTCCCAGTATGCTGATGGCTTTAGGAAGACAGTTGACAAATGAACAAAGTAGGCTTGACATGCTGTCCTTTGGTGACTCCTGTGTCCTTTCCCTAGGCTTCAATAACTCTGGACCTGTGGGCTTGGGAACTGTCCCTCTGTGTGCTGGTCACAAGGCCAGCGGTGGGCTGTGCACTGTGTGAGCCTAGCCAGGTTCCCCTGTTGCAGCCCCTCAGCACCCTCATGGCTGTTTTGCTTGCTGTTGACTTGTACATTGATGGTTTGCATTGGAATGTTTGTTCAGTGGATGGTACAGTGGTTAGTCCCCTGAAACAGACATCGAGTCCACACCTAAGGATGGGGGATCTGTCAGTGACTTCATGGCCCTTTTTGACTATGGTGTCCATCATCCTTGCAAGGAGATGGGGTATTTCATCCAAAGAAAACGGTACAGAGAGCATAAGGAAAAGAAAATCGGCAGCAAAATTTCAGTAGGGCTGGGAGGACCTAAACAGTGATGGAAAGGTTGGGCTGGGTTTGAAGCCCAGCTCTTACTGTAAGTTTGTGATCTCTTAGTGTCCCTGAGGTTTTATTTTTTTCATCTGCAAAAATAGGGCTAATCAGTGGGTTATCAGAACTTATTAACATTAGTGTCACTAACGTTGGTATACCACCCCCCCCACTGCTAAATTTGATTGGCTTTAAAAAAAAAATAGGGCTAATAATAGTGCCTTGGTAGGGGAGTTTTGACAGTTAAATGAGTTATTTCATAGTAAGCTTTCCAAAAATGTTGGCTGCTGGGCTTTGTCACTGGTAGAAGCTGAGTTGTGAGGAGGATGCCAGGAGGTAATTTCCATCTGTGGTGGTGGATGTGTGCGGTGGTTCTGGACAAACAGCCCTCCCTGGCTTGCCACCTGCACCCATCTCTGTGACTCATGGCCGTGTCGCAGTGGGAGGCATCTCGCTGTGGGCTGCTGAGGACAAACAGGGACTGTTCCCTGTGTTTCCTAGCATCATGAGGGGAGGCTTCTGAGGGAGCTGCTCATGCGCTGCCTCTCCACATCAGGCTGCCAGCAGGAGGAACTCTGTTGCCCTCATGTTTTCTGTGATAAGACCACACAGTTTCACAATTTTTTGTTTTGGTTTTCTTGATGTTGAGGACCAAATGTAGGGACTCATGCCTGCTAGACATGTGCTCTAACACTGAATGAAATCCTTGACTCACCACAGCACATGTTTTAAACATCATCAGACCCACCAACTAAGGAACACAGATCCAGTTGGGCATGGTGGTGCATGCCTAGAATCTCAGCACTCAGGAGGCTGAGGAAGGAGGATTGCTGAATTTGAGGCCTGCCTGAACTGCATAGCAGAACCTATCTCAAAAAGAACCATAACAAAAAGGTACAAGAGCCCTTTGACAATGCGAGCTCTTGGTATACAGTTGTCCACATCACTGTCCCTTGAGTTTATCTCTACCATCTCAGTGACCCTTCTTGGACCTGGATGGGGAAGTGGGGCCTGAAGTTTGAGAAGGGGTGGGGAGTGTATCCTGGAAAGAAAAAAGCAAAAATATTTCTTGTAAATGTTACAAAAATACTTCTGAGACCCTAAGTATGAAAATGAAGTCTACTGGGATAAGGTTATATCTTTCTCTGTTCAGGAGGCTTTGTTGGTGCTGGGCAGTTAGAATTGGGTCCTGTGACCTTAGTGATTTGCCTGCTGTGTCCCCCAGTGCCACCCAAGTCTCCTAACCATATTTCCTGAGCTCCTCCCCTGGCCTCCACTGCCCACTTTCACTTCCTCAGGGGTGCAGCTGGCACGCCCTCTGGCCTTGCATGTGTTCCTCCCTTTGTCTGGGGTGATGCATCCCTCCTGTGCCCAGCCAGGCAGTGCACCTCCTCACAATGTGACAGTGCACATTGTCATTTCCTCAGAGGTGCTCACACCACCTCATCTAAAGTTCACCCTCTCTCTCATGCCCCTTTTCTAGTGTGTGTGTGGGTATTGGAACCTAGGACCTTTGCACTAAGCTGTATTCCCCTACCTTATTTGTCCATCTGTTTTTTTGTTTTTTTTTGGAGGGGGGTGCTAGGAATTGAACTCAGGACCTTATGCTTGCCAGGCGGGTGCTGTGCCACTGAGCTGTATCCCTGGCCCAATCCATGTATTTTTGAGGTTCTTACTATGTAATCTAGGCTGTTTTCCAGGTCTCGGCTGTCCTCTGCCTCAGTCCTCTGAGCACTGGAATCACCAGTATGAGCAGCCTGCCCAGCACTTTTGAAAATGCTTCGTGTCTCTAGGCCATTGTTTCTCGTGGTTGCAGTGTGAGCAGCCATGTGCATGTGCTGTGCCTTCTCTCTTCTCCTGCAATGGACTCCTGGTTCCAGCTGCCTGACTGCGTGCTGTCTGCGGAGCCCGTCCTTGGGAGAGCTCCCTGCAGGGCCTGCTTGGGAGCCAGATGGGGGCACTGAGGACAAGCTGGAGGTGGAGAACTCAGCTAAGGCGGAAGGTGTAGATTTCATCCCAGGCACTAAAGAAGGGATTGCTGGGTCTTAGCGTACCTTGCTTCTCTTTCTAAGATGAGACCACTGTGTGATTTATTTATTCGTTTAAAGTTTAACTTAAAATTTGTTGGAGTACTGAGGATCAGGTCTAGAGCACTGTGCAAGCTAGGCGGGGAGTCTGCCGCTGAATCGCACCCCCAGCCCAGGGCTCTTTTTTTTTCTTTTACTGAGGGCTGAACCCTGGCTCTTTACACTGAGCAACATACTTCATCCTTTTGTTTTTTTATTTTGAAGTAGGATCTCTCTAAATTGCTTGGGCTATGCTCCAACATGAAGATCTATCCTACCTCAGCCTCTTGGAGCACTGGCATTCCAGGCATGCGCCCCACAACGGACCTTTGACCTCTGAGATTCTTAGTTTTCTTTCTTTTTTCTTTTTTTTTTTTTGTTTTTTTTCTTTTAATCGGTACCAGGGATCGAACTCATGACTGCCTGCTTGCAAGGCAGGCGCTTATGCCGCTGAGCTAAATCCCCAGCCCCGAGATTCTTAGTTTTCTTATCTGTGAAGTGGGGCCTGAGCTCGAGGGCCTCAGAGCCTGCCTGCTCAGGCCCTCTGTTTTCTCCATTCCCCACTCAGCACCCCAGCGCACTGTGCTTCATAATTTGCCTTTTTCTTCACAGCACTGGCCACTAGCTAATGTCGAATAGGACGCTTTCATTTGTCTCCAACCTCCTAAAAAGGTCAGGATGGTTGGGCTTTGCTGTTCGTCTTGCTCAGTGCATGGAATGCATGGTACCCAGCACACAGTAGGAGCGCGTTCCCTGATGAAAGCATTGGGCTGTTTTGGAGCCCTGAACATACTTGGAAAGCCTCAGGTGCTGGGATGTCACAGGGGCAGTGCTTGGCTTGGGTGCTGTCTGGGATTTTGGATTCTGATCTGTTGCCTTGTAACCTTGCCACTCAGACCTAATTGCCGGACTCCGAGTGCAATTTCTATATTGGTAGTCCTGCCAGGTGGGTTTGCAAGGACGCATGACTATCAGTGCAGAGGGCAGGGAAAGGCATGCTTGGGGGAGACCCGCGGATGTGCTGGGGTCTCCTGTTTTTTTCTGAGTTGTGCGCATGCTCATTATCAGCGTGTGAAGTGGTTTTGCAGTTTTGAACTCGAATGTGTCTGCCTGCTTGTCATGCTATGTAGAGCGGTGTCCATGAGTCAGTCCTGTGGAGCCTGCAGTCTGGGGAGGAAGCTCTGTTGCTAGAGTGGGGACAGAAGTGGCTGAGATTCAGGAAGACGTGGCCTGCAGCAGGGTGAGCTCTTGTTTGAACATAAACACCTTCCACTTTCCCTTTGAGTTTTTTTGTTTGTTTGTTTGTTTGGTATTAGGGATTGAACTCACAACCTTGTGCTTGCCACGTTTCCTTCTGAAGTTTGGCCTGACCTTCAACTCGCTATTCAACCCAAGGCTGGCCTTAAT